GCCGCTCGGCTCGGCTAATATCGGCTATGGCTATAGCCGGCTATAGCCGGCTGTAGCCGTAGCCGTTGCCATCCCTACATGTAAGAGCCATTATCTTATATATAAGAGCTAACAAACTAGATAGTTACGCGACGTTATCGCGCAAAACCAGGAACGGAAAGCAGTTGATTATCAGCATGACTGCTGGACGATTACCCTTCAACTTAGTAATCTATCATCAATCAAATCAATCAATCTAGCACTTATTTACGCTGATTTTTATTATCGATATGCGATATATCCCTCAAGTAATTATCTAAGTGTACAATACTGGTAAATGATGAAAAATAGCGATTTCTAGGTTTTTTTTATCGAAATTAATGTCACTTCATGTACAGCTACGAGTGACATTAACTTGATAAAAGAAATTTTCTGTCATATAATTGTTGTTTCCGCCTTTACAGTAAATAACTATGAGCATGAATAAATCTCCAAGGTCACGCCAAGTTAATTTTGTTTTGCATTATTCTCCGACCCAAATTTTCAAAAATTCAATTTGTTTTTGCAATAACAACTTAATTATCATAAACAAATAATGATATTTGATTCAAAATAAAAAATAATAAGAACAATAATTATTATTTTTAATCAAAATAATAAGAATAATAATTATTATTATTTAATCAAAATATAAAGACAAGCAAAAATTACTCGAGTATACCGTAATTCAGAACATTAGAATGGCACCCTTTATGAAACCTGATTGGTTGAATATACAAATTTCAAGCATTATTCATCTTAGCATCATTAACATAATTAAATGACGTTTTCATGTTGTTAACCATTTTAAATAAAAAAATTCTCTAAAACCACGTTTCACATTAATCTGTTGACAATTCACGTTTATGTGAAGATTGCACTAGGCCATCAATACGTAATATCAATATTAACAAATTCTATAAATAGAAATATTATTACACTGTGGACGATCATTCGCAGAGTAAAAAATTATTTCAAGTTCTTTTTTTGAATAATAATGAGCTATATATATAATTATCTTTTCTGATTAGAAAATTTAGTGTTAGTATTAGACCTGAGGTTTACAAGTTTAGCGTGAATACTATGTACAAATAATTTTTTTTAAAGTTACATGCAGTTAGGTCTACGATAAATATGTAAACCCGGGCTATCTAGAGATGCCTTTTCTAGTTTCATATTGATAATAGTCTCTGATATACGGCAAATCATTCTATTAGTATTCTCATTTTGATAAATTAAAATTTTATATTTCGAGAGAAATGCAAGTTTTGTAAGTCTATTCACTGAGACACTCTAATTTTCAGAATTTAAAATGGATAACGTAAGTTACCGATAGATTTAAACTCAACATAATTTTATAATGCCTTATGATTAACCTGATTTGAGAATTAATTAAAAAACTTGAAAACATGGTTATAGTACTTGAACAAGTAAAATGCCTTTCAAGAAAGCCTTAGAAAATTAAAAGACTTTGGCTTCATGAAATTCAGTCAACCGCTGACCGAAATTTCGAATGCCATGTAATGCAAAACGAAAAATCAAAAAAAAATAATATAATTACAAACTAATTCAATGCAACTTAAATGAGAAATGAATAGTTCATCCTAAGTACTTCGATTGTAAATTATTATAATAGGGGTTTCAAAGTTAACAAATGAGTGGCGCATTTTGAAATTAAATGAGAGTTTGAAAAATCTTATTTGTATTTCAACATTTTAAAATCGGAAAGTGAAGTGGGAGTGTCTGGGGATCCCCATTTAATGAAATAAATAGACTTTTTACGACAAAAATCATCATTTCAAATAGACTTTTTACGACAAAAAGCATCATTTCAAATTTATTAGAAAATGAAATAAGTTGATCCATCGCTCATTTGAAAATAAATCTGTAACCAATTTCAATTAAAATTAGATTTCCGCATTTTAACTTTGGAACCCCCTAATATTCAATAAACGACTCCGAATAAACATAAATAAAAAAAAATTAAATAAGAAATGAGTGGGTCATGTAATAGATAGTGCTCCGAAAGGGTTGATTTAGTTCGGATGACCTGAATTAAATACCCGAACCCAAAGTTGTCCGCACAACCCGAATCAAATAAATCAATAAAATTTAAATGATTTTTTTAATTCAAATCAAATTACGTCAACTTGAATCAATAAATATTTAATGTTAAATGATTTTTTTAGTTTAAATTAATTACGTCAACTTGAATCAATAAATATTTAAATGATTTTTTTTTTTATTTTCGTTATTTCTTTCGTTCAAAATTAAACAAACCTTTGTTAATAATGTCATCAACTGAATCAACCCAAATTGAACCTGATCCCATCGCTTCTAATATAGTTGAATCTCAATCACTTTCTTCTATAATAACCAATACCAATACAATTACTTCAACATCTTTTCAAAATAGACGACGTTGTAGACTTTTTTCTGAAGACTTACTTAGAGAAGAAGAACTCTCACCAGAGCATCCACAAGCATCAACTCATCATAAAATCTTGTGTCTTAATTGTCTAAAAGTATGGTTTTGTAGAATTGGTGATTCTCATACAACAAACCTTTGGCGCCATATTGAACAACACCATCCTAATCTTGATCCACGAAAGTTAAAAAGTCATATTGGATCAGATATTATTGAATTTATACAAGAAAATTTTCATAAATTTCTAACTAGATGGATAGTTTTAGACAATCAACCATTTACAACTTCTGAAAATGGATTTTTTTAGCAAATGGTAAAGTTTTTAAATCCAAATGCATCAATTTCTACAGGAGATACAATCAAAAATTATATTATGAAATGTTTTGAAGAGGAACATACAAATATAATAGATTTATATCAAAGTATTCCAGGAAAGATTTCATTTGCCTTAGATTGTTGGACTTCAACAAATATTTATTCATTTCTTGCTATTACGGGACATTGGATTACACAAGATTGGGAGCTTCAAAGTTCTTTAATAGATTTTGTAAATATTTCTGGTCCTCATTCTGGAGAAAATTTGTGCAACGCATTTGTTAAAAGCTGTAATAAATTGGAAATCTTGTCAAAATTATTTGCAATTACAAGCGACAATGCTACAAATAATGATACTTTAATGAAATATTTAGAAGATATATATAGAAGCAAAAATATTTTATTTGATGCTAATAAATTTCATTGCCATTGTATTGCTCACATTTTAAATCTGGTTGTACAAGATATCCTGAAACATTTAAAAGCTGATAATGTGCAGGCTAAAAAATGAGCTTTTAAATAGTATTAATTTGCCTGCAACTGCTGGTGAAATAATTCCAAAACTTCGTAAACTTGTAGTC